CAGCCACCATTATCAGACTCCCAAAGCTTCCCCCTCACATTGGTTTCATTTTTTCCTTTCTCGCTTTCCACCTTAAACCCGAATAATCCTTCCGTTCTTCATTAACCGAAACCCACAACAGCAAATCAAGAAAAGCCGCCTCGAACATAAATCTCGCGATTGATTACCGGAGGAGTTGCCATTTTTGTGGAGAGCAGTGATTGAACACCGCAATGTAGGTTGAAGAAGAATAGCAGGTGAGGCAAGATTTGGGAGAGAAGAGAGAGTGTTTTTTTTTTTTACAGGAAAAATGGTGCTTTTGGGTTTTTGTAAATTTTTGTGTAGACTTTGTGTGGTGGGTTCTTTTAATCTTCTTCTATTTTAATGGAGCTTTATAGATATATACATATATATGTATACTGTATACTGTATACTGTATATATATATATATATAGTTATGCTCCTTTTATAGAATATATATATATACTTTAAGGTAATCTAATTATGTAAAAGTAGTTGGTATGAAAGTGTATACCTATTATAGTCCAAATGATTTAGTTTAATTTATCTAACTTAATTATATTATTATACCTTAAAGCATATTACTTTTAATTTTGACTATACTCAAAGTTCTAATTTTTATCTTATAAAATATATTTTTTTAATAAAATAATAAATTATAAACTCGAACCAATATTAAATAAATATAATTTTTTATACATTTTAAAAAAAATTACGTGGAATTCTCGTAATACCAATTCGAAATTAGTATAATATTTTGTATTAATTAATTGAAGATGAATTTTTGAATTTTTATAGATGTCTTTCTAAATTCATTGAATAATTTTATAAATTTTATTATGTTAAAATAAATATTATAAATTTTAAAATAAATAATAAGATCAATTGATTGAGATATATGTTATAAAAAAAATGGTTAATATTATTTATATATATTCGTCATTAACATCATATAATTAATTTAATTTACGGGGCTAAATTTTTTTATTCTAATTGTATATATTGAATATAAATAAAATAATAGATTAATTATAAAACATAGGGCATTATCAAATATACTTATTATAATAAGATTAATTAATTACATAATTTAATCAAAATTAATTGTCACGATATATTAAAATCAAAACGCGTATTAAACATAAATACATAAGCCTTCATAAATTTCACATTATCCAAATAAATTATCATATATTATAATTTTATAGATTACTATTGGTTCATTTTGAATAATATAATAGCATATAAATTGATTTTATTTTTATACATAATTTTTTATTTGAATGTGGGTATTTTTTTTTTTTACTTATATTAAAAAAAATGTAATGGATTATGTAAATAAAAAAATGTGAGAATATAATTTTTAAAAAGAACTTATGATTTTAAATTTAAATTTTGTCCAATAATTGTATAAATATTTTGTTTTATAATTTTATAATTTTATATATGTGTAATTTAAGACTTCATTAAATATTTTAAGAAAATAACTCAAAAAAATAATTTCAACTAATTAATTAATTATATCATTTTATCTATACCTTTATAATTAATTAAATTTATTATATATATATACATATAAAAGAATTACATCGTGTATATTTTTTCGTGTTTTCAATTGAAGATTATATCATATTACGTGTATATATGTGTTATCTAATTAATGAAAATTATATATTTTTTATTATATAATTTTATGTGAAAATTTTAAAATTTAATTACATAAGAATATAGAAATTATAAATTTCAAAGAATTGAAGTATATGGAATAAATAAATAAAGAGGAGAACACGAGCCAAGTTGGTCGACCATATGATATTATCAATAGCCTTAATTTTTGACAACATATTTTAGGTGGTCGATATAAATATATATCCAAATCATGCAACTATATAGTACTCCTACGATACACCTCTATATTATTATTTTAAAAAGGAAAAAAAAAATTAAAATTTAAGTGTATATATATATATATTATATAATTAGCTAGTTTTAATGACTAGAAAAACTATATATTATTTAATTAAAAATATTTTGTGTACAATATTAAATACTTTAGTTTCTAAATAATTAAGTATCATATTTGTTAAGATTTATTTATACTAATCACATTAATTAACATGGGTATTAATACCATCTTTGTACTATGCATGCGTATGTATGTGTTACGTGTGTATATATATATATATGTGTGTGTGTGTGTGTGTGTATGTATAGATACTATATTCAAAGAAGTTCACGAGGGAGAGAAAAGGGGGAAGATTAGGAAAGAAATAAATTGGCTAACCTCCATGAAAGGAGCTGTCAAGCAGAAAATTAGTTGATGATGATGTCAACGAAAATCCAACAAACTTAAGATAAATTTTTATTAAAAGAGGATTATTGCAACCTAAGCTATATATACATATATATATACACATATACATACACACACACACACACGTAAACCCATATGCTAATTATGTAGTTTTTGTTTATATAAAAGATGAAACATCTATTTATAGCTTGTTCTCAACGCATTTTATTCTACTTTATGTATATATACATATATATATATGTGTTAATTAGTCTACATAATATTCTAATTAACCCTAATGTGTGAGTTATTGAATTGTGGGTAAGTAAATAAAAAATATTAAAAATTATATTATAACAAAAATGTAATTTGATTATTTATCCTTCTTACTATATAATATACAACAATTTAAATACGAAACACCCTTAAAACTCTCTAGGTGGTGCTTAATTATTTTTAATTAACAAAGGGTTATAATTAGTGGTAATTAAACATCATTTTAGATATCAAATATCGACCGTTAATTCACTCTAATAAAAAAGAAATAAATAAACTTTTTTTTTTGTATAATTAACAAACTATAATCGTAAAGAATTTAGTAATCAATACAATAGTTTAATAGTTTAAATTTGTATACTTTATTTAAAAATAATAAATTTAAACCCCACTTAACACGTAAAGTTTAATATTTTATTAGTGCAACATGAACTCGTGGCGACTGATTTATAATATTTAATTCAACAAATTCGATAAACTAATTCGTTAATATATTAATGAGATTGTAGTAATCAAATTAGATGTAGTATTGACAGTATGACATATACAAATTAAAAGAACAATTTGTGACAGTTATATTTATTTAATTGAAGTAATCGTAACAGAATAAAAGTTAGAATTAACTTTTTTTTAAAATATGAAATATTATAATAATAATAAAAAAAAAGAACATTCATAAAGTAAAATTATTGTTAATTAACCAAAATGTTTATATTATAAAAATCAAGAATATGGTTCAAAGAAACATACCGGCCATGTGACTTAGAACATACTCGATGTCAATTGCTTAATTAGTTTAAAAAGTAAGACACCCATTTAAGATTTGTTTAACATGCTAATACTAATTAATTAATTAATTAATTAGTTAATTAAACTCTCACTTAGCTTTCCAACTTTGCTTCACTTTTCCACTTCATTCCCCACACTATAATAATAATAATAATAACAAGATGTGGCCCTATTTCAAGAAATTTATTTTTTAATTAAGCATGTGCTAAAATGGGTAATTTTTCAAGGTTTTGAAGTGAATTTTCTTAGAGTTAAAGATTCTAATTTCATAAATAATTAAATAAATTTTTATTTGAGAAAACTCCATTACCTTTTTTTAAAAATATTAATTTAAGAAGCCGAAACACAACATATACGTACATACGTATATCTTTTCAAGTTCAAGTTGATTGCGAAAATGGGATTCCAAAGAGCTTTGAAGCGAAGGAAGGCGAATGGAAGCAACTTTGCTCATATGCAAAAGTCGAGATATAAGGCGATGGAACCACCTAGTTACGAGGTCCAACTGATATGTGATATATATTAAGTTAGTATACATAGATGCTACATATAATGATTTTATATTTACACGGTATTTATCTATATACGTCAAATATGACAACTACCGACGACATTAAATAGGTAATGACGATTAATGGTACAATTTAAACATTCTTAAAAATTAATACAATTTTAAAACCTAAAAAATTTCAAAATACAATTTTAACATTTCATAAGGTATTTTGACCTTCGATTAATTTCCCTTCGTATACATGAGCTTCAAGTGTTGGTTCTAATGGCATAGTCGAAGAACTTGATATTCGAAAATGTAACTAAGAAGAGGAAGCTATGTGGGTTATTGGGCTAGATAGATTGGGAGAGAAGAAATCTTAGTCAATAGGGTTGGTGGGAAATAGATTAATATTATGGCTTGTTTGGGTGCTCTTTAAACTGATCCTTTAGGACTTGAGGACGAAAATAGTGTTTTGGTGAGCGAACAAACACTGCCTACACTTCAGACAACATTTAGCAATATAAGTCTTCCCGCACTTCAGACAACATTTTCTAAAATTCGAAATCATTTTAACCAGAAACATTCTACTTAAATTGAAGCATAACTAGTTTTCAAACTCGATGAAGGACGTAGTTTCATCATATGATCATTCTACACAATTATCCGAGCAATGCAATTAAGCTTAACAATCAACAAGTATAGAACAAAGATCATTGAGAATGAGGTGCTAAAATCAAAGGTAGTAGCAAAAGTATTCTTCAGTCCAACATCCCGTTTTACAAATAAACCAACTCTAAAAAGTAAAATATCCATTCGAAATCCATATTAAGAAAACACTACTCGGTTGAAATTCTTTAATCTTGAATGCTGCAACAGTTTAACGGTACTGCAAAAATAAACAGGAACGGTAAGAACCAGAGAAAAGTCGGACGATAGAGAAAAAATAGCATGACAGATAAAACAGCAATTATGGGAATGGAGATTGTGAAGTGTACCTTAATGAAACCAATCTCCTTCGCATTGCTGCGAAAGCATTGGCGACAGCACATGAGACCATATTTGCGGATGAGCCCATGTGAGTTGCCACACACACGGCTATAAAAAACATAAGTCATCAGAATTAAGAGTCCAAAAGTAGGCAAAACAACAAAATATTTAGTAAGCATTGGTTCTTCATCTCCGTCAGCCTATAGACCTTAAGAGTCAAAATAATTGATATAATCAAATAAACAAGGAAAAAATCATGACCATCATTGTATTGAAGATCAACGTCTTAGATTCTTTGCCTCAACGTTGAAAATTACACTACAGTTGATAAAGACCTTTCTACCAAATATTAAAGCCCTAAAGTTCCTTTTACACCCAACATTTATTTTTCTTGAAATGCATGAATATAATTACAATTGGGACAAATCCAATATGATTTCCTCGTCTTTGAAAATATTTATTCCCTAAATGTCATGGAAAATTTCAAATTCCAATCTGTTTCAATTCAAAGAACAGAAATACTATGCGGAGACATAAAAAACTGTGGTCAAGTTTTCAACATATACAAAGGTTTTGAGGATCAATTATAAGTCACACACACATATTCTGGAAATACAATATAGAAAGAAAGAAATTTCACAGTCGAACTACCAAAACAGGCTTAAAATCTGATGCCTAAATGCTTTTTTTTCACTTTCTTTCAATTGTGAATCCAGATTCATATTCGTACTCTAGACACCAAAAGCAGATTTAGAAGTGAATTTCACAACTTCTAGGGGAAATCCATTAGTTTAAAACCAACCTATAGTTAACCTTTCTAGTTTTTTTTTTTGGTTTAGAAAACAACTTCATTGAGAGAAGAAGAAAGCACAACAATGAGTATAAGATACCTACTAAAGATAGAAACACAAGAAGAAAAAAATATGTCACAAGAAAATTGGTTAACGTCTTTAGTTTTAATCAAGCGGACGGTAAACACAGTTCCAAGAAAAGAACTAGCAGCAAGCAATTAAACAACATCGAAAGGAACTACTAACAAGTTTGTGCTACAATCTATACCGGGAATATTTTCATAGTATTCAGGAATGGAATAATCCCGGTACTGTATTTTCGGTACCACGCTGTGTATTATACACAAATATGCTTCTCAGCTGAAGCATAAATCCAAGTTGCTATATGTGAACGAATATCAAATATCCTATTATTGAAATCAATAATCTAACAGTCTATAACCAAATATACAAAAAATAAGCAACTGCATCATTACAGAACCAATCTAATATAGTTGCAAACACATAAATCTCGCTTCTACTACTAGCATCACAAATCAAAGACGAATATAAGAAGCGAAACGAAGCAGAGAAACAGGAAATATTAATCGTTCGACTCATTCAAAATCCCATATTAAACTAACAACAGGAATCAAATAGCTGAAAGTAACGCATCTAAAACGATGACCACCAGTCCTCTATGATCCACTTATCATCCCGGAAACCAAACAGAAAGCCGCACTAGGCATCAATATCCAAGCTTACTTTTAGCCAAATTCATATTGCCAAAAGGTATCAGAGAGAAAGATCATTACCATTGGCGAGAACCCGGGCCGTAGGTCTTGGGGTGAGAGTTCCAGACGTTAGAGTGACCCATGATTTCTGTCTGCGAGAAGGAAGATCTGCAAGATGGAAGGTCTGCGATTGAGCAATTCAAAACCCTAAATCTTTTGCAGAGGATTTTGGACGACAACGAAAAGCTAGGTATTTATAGTGGATTACCAAGAAACCCTAGTTCGTTGTGTTTACCGACAACAGTACAGAATTGCCCAGCTTCTAAATGGGCCTTAGGCCCATTAAACCCAGAATCATTATAATTTTAAACATTAATTATACAATAAATTATTGTAGTTAATTAAAAATTAAATATTATATATATTTTTTATAATTTTATGAAATTATGTTATTATTTTTTAATGGTTAAAATATTAAAATTCCTCTTAAATTATATAAATATATTTAACAAGTATTTTTTCTTTTTCTCAAATCTCAATAGGCTGCCCCCCGTCCATCTCCTGCAGGCTAAACGGGTGTTTCACAGTTGATTCTCAATGGAGAATCAAGCAGCGTCTTCGTCGTCCCCGCTGGTAATTGAATTTCCTCTCTACGTTTTTTTTTTTCTCGGCAACCAAACACTGGTTAAAGTGTTTTGTACTGCGTTTATGTTAGGAGCTCCAACTAGCCGACGAAGACGAGGAATTCATATACGGAGCTGAGTCCGGCTGGGTTGATGCTCTAACCTGGTGCGATCACTTGTCTTCGTTGTCGTCTGATCTGGTTCACATACCAATCCCTGATACTCCCTGCAACAGGTTAGCTTTTACCTCTTTCTTTAATCCCTTTCACTATATACGCCTTCCGACGTCTCTTAAGTGGCAATTTTAGTTATTGGATACTTTATCGTTTGCGAATAAATAGGATTATGTTTAGGAAATTAGATGTCATGCTCATGAATTTGGTGGTGAAAGTAGAAGCTCCATTTGTGGTAGAGTGGAAGGAAATGGAAAGGGAAAAAAAAAAGAAGAGATGAAGCATGCGCATTTGTAACTGGTGTATTGAAAGAATTGATGAAGAGACGAGTGATTTCCCTGTGTGTGTCAATAGTTTGTGAAATTGATCATCGAACGGAAAAAGAAAAAGACCAGACTGTTATTTTGGCTTCAATTCTCATTCCACATAAGTTCTTATCCCTTTGCTTAATTACTAGAGTTGTATTTCTTGAAAGAAGGAATACTAGAGCTGTCTTAATACGTAGGAGTACATCATAATTTTAAGTTTTGAATTGCATTTATTCCCATCTTGAATTCTTTGGAGATGGATTTTCGATTGTGATTATGAGTATAGTAATTAAATGAACGAATAAGATCCAGATGAAATGAGAATAAAACTGGATGAGAGATTTTAAGTCATTGGATGTCTTCTCTACATGATTTAATTCAAAAGATCACAGTTTCTAATCTGTTTGACAATTTATGTTTTTAAGGTGCCAAAATCCGAGAGAAAACTGGTTATGTTTGTCATGCAAGGATGTTCTATGTAGCCGTTTCATGAACCAGCATATGCTTCAGCATTATCAGCAAACAACTCATTGTGTGGCACTCAGCTTTAGGTATCTATAATAACATTGTTTCCTCTAATTTGCTTCCTTTTTATCTTTCCCCGTATAATTTCCTAGAGAAAGTGATCTCTCTCTCTCCCCTATATTAATTTTGCATGGAAACACAATTTGAAGTTTTTGCTTTTATGTTTTTCGGTTTTGGGGGAAAACAGTGACCTCTCAGTTTGGTGCTTCTCCTGTGATGCATATTTAGATACACAAGTGATTCGGCAACTGAGACCTGTTTATGAGACTGCTTACATACTGAAATTTGGTGAGGCTCCACCATTTCGGACAGATGAACATGCAAGCATGGAAAATGAAAAGGACAAGGATATATTACCTGGAACAGGAAGATAAATTTTTCTTCTTAACATCTGGGTTTTGCTTTTTGACTTCAAAACTTGAGATGTAAGGATTCAGGGAGCTTAGCTCTGTATTTTTACTTGATTCTACAACACAGCCTATTGTTATCAATTTGAATTTCCTCTCTTGCAAATTGCAGTCCCATAACATGTTTGCTGCATTTTATTCTGTGAGTATGGAGGTAGTAATTGAATTTTTTTTTCTGTGTTAAAATTTACAAATGAAAGTTCGAATAAATTAAAAGTCGAGTTTATGTTCTAACCTGACCAGCTCATTCAAATACTCAAGGACATAACATAATATCAACGGATTGCTGCTTGTTTAGTTTTTATATTTTCAGAATAATATGAATCCTGCATTCATGTATATAAGAACACCAATGTATCAATAAATCAAGCGATGGATTAGCCACTCGCAAATCCACCAAGAAATGCAAGTCTATTTGCCGAACTCTGTTGTTGTCCCTTGTAGGTCGCAGGCACGCTGCTCGCACTCTAATCTGCCCCACCTTGCATCAACTCGCTCACATGGAAACACCAGTTTTCCAAGGCTGTTAAAATCAACCCATTGTAAAAACAACAAAAATAGTTTTCACATAAGAATTGGTAAAGGTTACGTTCCCAGTTGCCTGGTATAAAAATGAAGAGCAAGGTTACCTCCTATTAACTATGTTGTGTACATGACAGAGCCAGCCTGAGAACTCATCATGAGATCCAGTTTGTACAGGATTTGCTCTGTTGACCATGTATAAAAAAAGTCTATTAATGCAAATAATCATGCAAGTAATATTTGATTTTGATACAACAGGAGAGCATACAACAAGCCGATACATTGAAACATTGTGAATAACCTAAAAACCACCAAAAATGTCTTGATCAACTAAGAGAAATCATTCTTGTTCTCTTGTTGAGCACCAAGTAAAGAAGGAGCAGTTTTGATTTAAGTGGTTAACAAGTGCCGATCTTAAAATTGAGATTAGATTCAAGTTTCTGGTATCTCCTCTTCACGGATAAACAATTGAAATGCCTAAAAAGTCAGTTAAGATAACTAAAAATGTTGAAGGAAATCGAACTATTCATTTATATGTATTTGTTTTTTGTTTTGCAGGAAATGGGGTTAATTTCAATGTAACTTACTCTCCAAGGAAGTGAACGGAATTTCACATCTTACCTGAAGTTTCTAAACCACTGTAGTCAATTCATGCCACAAATTAAACTAGAAGAACAGTTAATGTTAAATAACTCTAAGTTAACATCCTGATTCAGTGTTTCTAGTAAAGCTTCCTCTTTGCTGTTTATTAGTTTGCAAGAGCCTCGGTTGGCATTAGAAGACTAAAATTGCACCAAATAGTAATATCTAAAATATGTCGAGATGAGTATACGTTGAAATCTACAAACCAAGAGAGGGAAAGAAGGAAAGAAAGAATAAAAGAATCTACAATCAAACCAACACAGAGAGGATGTGTCAAAGAAAATTTCGTACCTCAAAATTTCTTTGAAGTGATCAGCACATTCCTTGCAAGGGTATATTCGAGATAATATAGCTATCTGAAGGCCAAATGAAATCTTGTTAACTGGTTTTAGTTAACAATGACAAATTTACAATATTCTAGTAAAACATTTATTTCTAGTCTTATGATATGAAGAAATAACAACATGATTGCAATGGCTGTTTGTTAAGCAAAATTTTGAAGATGAACGTTTCTCATTCCTCTGTCTTCATTTCAAGTTCCAGAGGACTGAAAAGGTAAATGCTACATGAAGATAGATTACTTTACATGTATATTAAGTTTGTTTTTCACTGATATCTCCCTGGTATAAGCTGATTTATGGCTTCATAGTGTTAAATAAAAGGGCTAAAAATAATTGACGGATCTTCTTAACCAATAAATTAGGGCAAAAGCTTCATCATTTTTCTACCTTTAATGCGAGATTGGTTTTATATTAGGTCAATGAGAACCCTCTCCACTATAGCAGTTCAGCCTTTGACAGATATAGTTACAATACATGCTTCAATGAAATATAAAAATACTTTTGACATAATGTTTTGTATTGCATATACTTCTTCAATAGAGTCTACTAGGAACTTATTGGCACCATATAGTTGCTCTTCCTCTAAAGCTAGTATTGGTAATCAAGAGAAAACTATAAGAATTCATATAAATAAATTTTAGCTAATGAATTGAGAAGTTACATGAAGTGATAGTCACCCACCAGTTCTTTTACATCCTTCTTTTGTTGTCTAGTTGGTTTTTCCGGATACTGAAAAGAACAAATAAAAGAATATTACTTTACATGATACAGAGCACAATACAGAAGCACCTATGAGTTATTGCAATTGACTGAGCTGCATAGCGGATTTCTATTCGTAACTACCAAATCCATATGCTAATCGACACACAAAATTAAAGGTGTTGATATGAGCAATTCAATTTGCTGAGGAAAAATCACAATTTGTTCAAGTTGAACCCTTAAAAAGAAGAAGTAGATCAGCTAAGCAATTTAACAGGAATACCTGTGCTGCAAGAGTATGAAGAAAAGTCCAAGTGGCTCTTCCAAGCTCTTCTTTGGTAACAGGCCCAGCAAATTTTCCCTGAACAATTGCAACAAGTTAATTGGATATTTTATTAGCAAACAAACAAACCATGTTCATCCTTTATGCAAATAAAAAATGAAAGAAATAGATAGCACTGCACAAAGTATAATTTCACATTTTCCAAGCATGACACCAAACAGGACACGTGTTCTTTCTTCTATGTTTATCTAGGTATTAAACATGACATCCATAACCGATATAAACAATACTGATATTTATCTTTGTTCCTTATCTGACTTTTGCTAGTTCATTGATTCAAATTTCAATAATGTTGAATGTGATTACAGAATACAACATAAATGACATAAAGATTTGAGCTACATGATCAATTCAACTTGACTTCTAATTCAAGTTAGCTATTTTTGTAACTTTACATATGAGAATACAAATATATCAAACCATAAAATTGAATTTATGAGTAAATTTGGTCTAGTTATGCATTTAGTATATTAACTAAAATTTTCATATAAACTAATCCGAAATATAGTCATCGAACAAGAATAGAATGGACTAATACCAAACACAACCTTAATATCTATCTATCTACCAAAAGGTACCAGAAATTCACACGAGTGCATTGGCATACACTCGAAATGCGAATAAAACCTAACAAAGGAACAAAATCCACATAACCCATCGTGCAGATGCCCTACGGAGTCTTCTCTGAGGACTTTCATCAAACACTTACCACACAAAAAAACTTACCAAAAGCTACAACCAAAGAAACCCCGCCGGGCTACAATTCAAATTCAAATGAACACATAAATGCATTTCTTTAAGTAAACAGCTCGCACCTTCAGGAGGATCTGGGTCGCGTCTCTGCTCTGTAATGGGGTTACTTTGGACGACGACGATGACGATGACGATGACGACGATGATAATGATGATGGAGAAGATGAAGAGACGAGAATTTTTTCCTCAGAAGGAGATGATGGGTAGGGATGGTGGCCCGTGAGATTCGAGAGATGGGTTTGTATGCAAATTGAGAGCTTTTCGAAGCTTTGAAAGAGGCGCTGCAATGGATTCTGAGACATTTTCAGGGACGTAGGAAAGGCGGGAAAATATCTCTGTCGGTCGATAAACTTTTTATAATTATATATATAATATAAGGTAAAAACACATTCTAAATAAGGAAATATTTTTCGGCCACGTGCAAATTCATACCAAATGGAGTAACTTTTGTGTATGACACGAAACATCTAATTGATTCAAGTAAATAATATAAATTAAATACATGCGCAAAAAATAATATAATTATTATCAATAATTACAATTTTTCTTTTTCTAAAAATCATAATTGGATGGTACATCACATATAATTAAAATAAATTAAATTTTAAAAAATTAAAATTAAATGTTTATATTAATATTTTACACAAAATTATATTTTAAATAATTTTATATTATTTTAAATTAAATATTTTCATGATTATTTTTGTTCTAATTCTAATTTTGGAAGCCATCAATAATTAAAATATTTATTCCTTAACAATTAAAGATTTAAATTTATTTAATAAAAAATAAAATATCGGAAACATAAAATTATGATTTTTTAAAAATATTAAATAATTAAAATTTCAAAAATAAAATAAACTTGGAAAAAAAATAATCGATATTAATATTTATATAATTAATAACACCAAACGTGATATTAATTATTTTTGTTGAAAATCAAGAATCAAATTCTTGCAAATTCTGAAACCGACAAGAAGAGCAAAAAAAAAAAAAAAAAAATCTGAGCAGCGAGAAAATCGAACGAGTTGAAGAATCTTAACCTGACTCAGCCTCACAGCTCTCTCAATTATTGACGAGTTTCTAACTCACACCTTAACTCTCGCCCATTGACTCGTCCATGCCGTATTCTATAAGCCATTTATATAGTATAAAGATAATACATAATATTATACGTATTATTATCATCAGTTATAAACATCCATCGTGGGTTTTATTTCAGGTTTGAGCTGTTGAACTTTCTGCCCTGAAGAGCGGGAGTCAACATCTCCAAACCGGTGATAGACTTCCTTATCTGGTCTGCACGTAGTTTATCCTTCCATTGTGAAATTCAAGGAAAACTCATATCAGAAATTCTTTGGAACCACATGCCAATAGATTTGCATATCTACCTATGCATGTGTTCATCTTGGCGTCTGTGTAGAAACTAGCTTGATAAACGATTATGCAGATCTAATTTAGGGCTACATATACATATATATATATATATAGAGAGAGAGAGAGAGAGAGTATCAGTCCAGTCTTTCTCTCTGTCTACCTTTCGTTGGTGGATGGGTGAAGAAGGAGATGAACATGGTGTCCAAACAAGACCAAAACTGACATTATTGCCTTTAATAGCTTTGATTTTCTATGAAGTTTCTGGGGGTCCTTTTGGTGTTGAGGATTCAGTAAGGGCAGGCGGTGGTCCTCTCTTATCTTTGCTTGGTTTTTTGATTTTCCCTTTGTTCTGGAGCATACCAGAGGCTCTAATCACAGCCGAGCTCGCCACAAGTTTCCCTAAAAATGGAGGGTATGTTCTCTGGATCTCTTCAGCTTTTGGTCCCTTTTGGGGTTTCCAAGAAGGGTTTTGGAAATGGTTTAGTGGAGTTATGGATAATGCACTTTACCCTGTCTTATTCTTGGATTACTTGAAGCATTCTTTCCCTATCTTAAACAGTTTAGTTGCTAGAATCCCTGCTCTTTTGGGGATTACAGTTTTATTGACTTACTTGAATTATAGAGGCTTGCATATTGTTGGATTCTCAGCTGTTTCTCTTGCTGTTTTTTCACTTTTTCCATTTGCTGTGATGAGTTTGATTTCGGTTCCTCAAATTCGGGTTAAAAGATGGCTGGTTGTGGATTTTAAGAAGGTGGATTGGAGGGGGTATTTCAATAGTATGTTTTGGAATTTGAATTACTGGGACAAGGCTAGTACACTTGCTGGGGAGGTTGAAAATCCAAGCAAGACATTTCCTAAAGCACTTTTTGGGGCTGTATTGTTGGTGATTTTCTCTTATTTGATTCCTATTCTTGCTGGAACTGGGGCATTGAGGTCTAATTCTAGTGAGTGGAATGATGGATATTTTGCTGAAGTTGGGATGCTGATAGGAGGGTTTTGGCTCAAGTGGTGGATCCAGGCAGCTGCTGCAATGTCTAATATGGGTTTATTTGAAGCTGAAATGAGTGGAGATGCTTTTCAGCTTCTTGGTATGAGTGAGATGGGAATGCTTCCTTCTTTTTTTGCTTTCAGGTTAGTCTTCTTTGCCCACTCCATTAGTCGTAACTCAATATTTTCTGGTAAGATACAGTATAAGTAATAAATTAGGTCGTCTTCTAAAATTTTTTTAAGTCATTGAGAAAACTGATTATAACTTATTGTTGAAAATGGTATAAGAATTTGTGATTCTAGTTCCGAGTCATGTCCAGTTCGCGCACAATTCTACTTGTGCATGAGGGTAGTGTTAAGATACTATATAAATAATAAACTAGGTCATTTGGTACAAGCTTAAGCTTTTAGGAAATTTAAAGCTACAAATATGGTGTAGTTGGGATTCGTCAAGAACAAAGCTTGTGATTCGAGTAACTTGGCTCTGGTACAAAGTTGTCCTACCTTTTAAGATCCTTTAAATGAAGAAAGAATTTGCAGCTAGATTTTTTATTTTCTGATGTCAAGACATAAATTTTAAATTTGGCTGAACTTGTAATTTTCTTAAAAAGCTTACAGAAGACACTTACTGCATGTGGAAAATTGAGTAGGAGTCATGCTCAGAGTTGAACTAATTTTTCGAATGTTTAAGTTAATCGAAAAGGGTCTAATATATTATTCATATTCCAATACACCTTTTTGCTCGAAATTCTACCAGATCGAATGCACCCATGAAGTACTTACTGTTCCACCATGCTTTGTTTCAAAATTAAAATTTACCAAAAATGGACTAAGTCAAGATTCAAACATTGAACTTCTCATCCTAATATCCTACTGAATTAGAAAGTTGAACCCGTTTTTTCAAAAGCTTAGCTGATGAGAGACTTAACACTACACATATTCGCTTGATGATTAGTGAAAAACCAACCTGCTGCACCCACATAATGTTAAGTAGATTCACTAGGAGCAAGACATTCACTGTTTCCCTAATGAAATCCAATACTCTTTCTTGGTCACAAATGCCATTTTCAGGTCCAAGTATGGTACACCCACCATTAGCATTCTATGTTCTGCTACTGGAGTCATCTTCTTGTCATGGATGAGCTTTCAGGAAATCTTGGAATTCCTCAATTTTCTGTACTCAATCGGAATGCTTCTCGAGTTTGCAGCTTTCATAAGACTGAGAATAAAGAAACCTCATCTTCACAGACCTTACAAAATCCCATTGGAAACATTTGGTGCAACAATGCTCTGCCTGCCTCCTTCAGTTTTGCTTGTTCTTGTCATGTGCCTGGCTTCCCTAAGGACATTGATGATAAGTGCCATAATTATTCTTGTAGGGTTCTTGTTGTATCCTTGTTTGGTTCAAGCTAAAAATAGGAAATGGACACAATTTGATGGCATGAAAGTGGCTGTGGGTTCCGATGAAAATCGGGAAGGTGAATCCATTGAGTCTCATGAAGTTGCAGATGAGGTTGCAGTTAGGCTTCTTGCAGAGCAAGAAGCTTCTGGGACTTCTGCAGGAATTCAGAAATTAGTGTAGGGTGCCTCATTGTGCTGTTTGACTATAAATTAAATGCTTCTTGTCTTCCACATAAGGAATAATTTTACATGATGTATATCAGATTTGTGTCATGTGCAGCTTTTTGATATGGTACACACACACACACACACACACACACACACACACACACACACACAAACACACACAGACAGAGACAGACACAGACAGAGACAGATATATGTATGTACATTTGATATTTATATGTTGATTTTGCTTTTAAATATTTTAATCATAATAAATCAATACTGTCATTTGTGAAGTGTGATCATGATCCTTTATTAGCCACTTAAGAAAAAAAAAATTGTTTCTTTTATATAAATAAAAAAAATGATTTATTTAGAGTAAAAGCAGTTTTTTGTTAACTTAATATTTAAACTTACAAAATTTATATACAATTATGAAAATTTTGATATATACAACAATTTTTTTTTTATTTTTTTTTATATTTCATATACAAAAATTGAATCATGCCATGTTGATTATAAAAATAAAAATTGAGAAATTTTCAATAATAATAATAATTTTAGAACCCTATTTATAAATTTTTGATCTTAATTTTGATATAATAAGATTTTATATTTTTAAAATCACTCTTTCGTACAACTCAAATAATAAATTATATAAAAAATTATAATTTAAAGTAATTTTTTAATTTATAATTAAATTATAACAAATTTTTTTTAATAAATTTATTGATTTTTAAAACCAGCACTAAAAGAGCCGAATTTAAAAAAGAGAGATTGTTCTATGTTCCTAATCTATTGTAGTTAGATCATTCGAAACTATAAAAAAATTTAGTTAGAATCAGATTTTAACTCGATATCTTTTAAGATTTCGAGAAAAATTATTTTTTAAAGAATATAATAAAATAAAAATTATAAGTCAGTGTTTTGAAGAGGAAGGGAGAAATTATTGTCCCGATTTTTATGGTAAAATCAGAGCTTGATATGCGATCGTTTACTTTATATTCGAGTTCGCTTATTTTTAACTTGTGGACCGAGCCGATCATATACTATGTAGCTTCGATATTAAATATCTATTTTTAATTTTAAAAAGAAAAAGAAAATTGAGAAAAAAAAATATTTTTTTGTGTGGGTTTTTTATCTGTTAGGTAAACATAAGAGAAAAAACCAAAAAGCTTAAACATGTTTTTTTAAAAGACCCAAACAAACAGTGCCTTAAGAATTTTACATCAGAAACCCAAAAAATAGCACGTGTGTTTCGTCTTAAGAATGTTTCCAAAAGCTTACATCTTAATCCCTGTTTGGTTCTTCCCTGTTTACATATACATAAATGGCTTCCATCAAAAAACCAAAAAAACCCACACGCCCCTCTCTAATAAAAATAAAAATAAATAAAAACAAGAAAATTCATAGCCGATTCGAATAGTGCCCTCGAACGAATTTACCAGGTAATAATTTCACTGTCCTCTCGTTTAATCTTCAATTTCGTCATTTGTTTCTGTCTTTTTTCTCTGATTCTAATCGGAATTTTAAGTTACGAATTGGGTTTCCGTTGTTCTTGAACATCGCTGCTTGAATCTCTGGAACTCTGTCTTTTTTCCATGTGATTATTGAATTGCGCGAAATTTGGTGTTTTCAGGTTTTTTTCTGGTTAAGTTCCAGTTAATATTAGCGTTTTAATCAGTTCGTGGGAGATTGCTAAATTTGTCTTCGAGCTAAATTTCTATCTAGGTTTTATTTGTTCGAGTATCGGAACTTGGAAATTGTGTGCATTTGTGTCTTTCCTGATTTTATATTGATGGTATATGATAAATATGCTGATGGAAAGAATGTTGGTGATTAGGGTTTATGTTTTTGATTGAAGAGAGTGGTTTTTCTAGCATCTGGGATTTTCTTGGAAGTTGAAGATTTTGATGAAGAATTTGATCTGGTGAATTTTGAGAAGATGATGCCCAGTCAAAAATTTTCTCGTATTGACAGTTTGGAGATAAGATCTCTGATTATTCGAAGGATTGGGCATCAAAGAGCAGAGAAATACTTTGATCAACTGAGGAAATTGTTTAGCCTGAAGATTAGCAAGAGTGAGTTTGATAAGTTTTGCATTAGAATCATTGGGAGGGAAAATATCCCTCTTCACAATCAGCTTATCAGATCAATTATCAAGAACGCTTGTGTTGCAAAGGTTCCTCCTGCTAGAAGTGTTGGAAAGGTGGGAAGTAATCTCAGTGTAAAACTTGGTAATGGATACCAGAGGAATTGCCTTCAATCACTTTATGGTGATGCCTTTCCTCCTTCCCCTCGCAAGGGCAGGTCTCCCGTTAATCGGGAACGCAAGTTCAGGGATCGCCCCAGTCCACTGAGGCCGCTAGGAAAGCCTCAAATTGTTACATGTGATGAATCAGTTTCCAAGGCGCAAGAGCAACAGAGTGCTACTGAATTGGTTTCGCTTGGTAGCAGACCCCCAGTTGAAGTTGCATCTGTGGAAGATGGAGAAGAGGTCGAGCAGGTTACAGGAAGTCCAAGCATTCAGAGTAGAAGTCCAGTTACTGCTCCGCTTGGTGTTTCCATTAACTTTGGTGGAAGTCGAAAGTCTCTTTCTAATTCAGGTTTCTGTAGTATTTACCATCATGACACATGTCAAAACAGTGGTGAGCTACCTGATACGAGATCTTTGAGAAGTCGTTTAGAGCGAAAATTGGAGGAGGAGGGTATGAACATTTCAGTAGATTGTGTTAATCTGTTGAATAATGGGTTGGATACCTACTTGAAACAATTGATTGAGCCCTGTATGGCTCTGGCTGGATCTAGATGTGGAAATGAGCACTTAAAACAAGTGAGTGGCCACTTCATGCCTGGTCTCAATGGAATGTTACCTGGGAGACACATGCAAAGACCTGTTTATGCATCCATGTCAGATTTTTGTGCAGCAATGGCATTGAATCCACAAATACTAGGAGGAGATTGGCCTATACAGCTTGAAAAAATATGCTTGCGGGCTTCAGAAGACTAAAGTCTTAGCTCATAAACTGGCGGTATATGGATTCATCCAACATGATTTCATGGATTTAGTCACAGTTAGTGAATGATTCAGTTTCTTGAATTTATTCTTACTCATATCGTGGTCTTCTGATGTGGAGCCGTGGAGTGTCACAAGGCATTGTCCAGAGGAATAAACTGTAGAAGTAGCAGGGATCAAGTGGAAAAGGTCATGTTCAAATGTCAGTGTTGATTATTACTGGGAACGGGGGCATGTTTATAGGGTAAATGTACAATTCTAGATACACCTGAGCCCCATGATATATCTAGAGTTTAACACCATTCTTCAGTCAACATCTTGTTTTTCTTTTGTCTTTTGTCCTTTTTCTTTCTTTTTCTCCCTAATGTACCAAGTTTTGAGTAAAAGAAAGCATATTTTAGTTCTGAGTGGTCAGAAATTCTTCGGTAGATTTTTAACTAGGAATGGACTTCTTTTTCTTTTTTCAACTAAATGGCATTATTTTGGACTGCCTTGTTCTTTTTTCAACTAAATGGCATTATTTTGGACTGCCTTGTTCTTTTTTCTCCCTGCCTGGTCTTGTGCTGCAAGATACCAATCAGGTACCATGAATACAATGTTCTCTTAGAAAATTCTTAAAGAGAGTAAAAAGTAGTAGTCAACTAACAAAAGATCTTTGAATCAGTATTCTGTATTCGTATGCTAATTACCATTTCAAGCAAATTGATGTTTCATCCATGTGAATTAATAGTTCAGTTAGGTATCATATCCATGTAGAAAGGGGAAATTATCAGTTTTTCAGGGCGGTGAAAGTTGATACTTCACTTATCAGGTAGAACTAAGATATAACTGATACTGACATTGTTCCCTTGGTGAATTCATTGATCTCGGTAAGACTAGTCTGATGCCATTAGAAATCAGTTTTGGACTTTGCGGACGTTCTTCTGGAGGTCTGCCTTTCTTTCTTGAGAGTTTTGTTAGTATTCTTTCATGGCTGTACTCTTCTGCTTATGATAACACTGTATTGACATTCATATTGCTGGAATAAGATTTGCTCCCCACAATGGTAAATGGTATCATGTACTTGCCAATATGTGATTTCATACGTTCAAATTCATTCCGGTCCATTTACAGGTATAAAGTCCCCCTTTTCCATTTCTATTTCGGATGGTTAAGTGGGTGGTTGACAGACTTGTGCACTGTTTAAACGGATTTGATAACGTATCAGTGGATGCAAAGGGAAGTATCAATGTGGAAATATCTTTCACTCTGGATCCCAAAGATTTATCTGTTCCCATTTTAGGACAATTGAATTTACAACCTCTTTGTCTTCCATTTCACTTGACAGCCGTTGGTAAGCAATGGATTTTCATATCTATGGACAGTCTACATGACATACATGGCAAGTCTGGAGAAAGTGAGCACGATAAGAAACAAGCCAAATATCCAGTTGACTAACTAAACATTTTCCAGTTCTCTTTCTTTTTTTGGATCTTAGATTGACTGTATAATGCCGTTGGAGGAGTGATATGAACTTAATTCTTTTAGGGTGTCTTTGGGAAAGCCATGCTGTGGTGGAAACTAAACTGAGAAACTTGGAGCTAATTCAACTAACGGATAGCAATGAATTTCAAGCTTTATCCAGTATTCCTGAGAGAAACTTTTGAATACTTCCACATGTTTTGGCGAAGCAGCGATTTGATGTTTATGGGAAGATGCTTGCAGAATCTGTTTCGTTAATCTTCTTATAAACGGATATTAGAATTAACCTTAAAATGCTAATCATAGCACATCTATTGACATTGCTGCTTTCCTTGTTTAGAAAATTGAAAAGGGTACTTTGCTGCAGACTTGTGAGTTTGATCATGCTGCAATCTTCTTTACGAGGATGCATCATGTAATATAAAGAGTTGAACTTTGTGTTTTCTTTTATGAAGTTAAATTTTTAGAATAATCAAATTAATAGCCAATTATTTTATATAGTATCTGTTTTTGTTTAATAAATTTCTGTCGAAGGTATAAAGAATCTATACACTTTTGGCCAAGTAAATTTGCAAGTGACTTTTCTATTAGTTTTAGTTTTTGAGATAATCTATTAGCAACCAGTTATTTAATAACAGATATATAAAGTGCATATGCAGCATGTCTTGAACTAATGCAAACTAAACCTGAAAAGATTACCAATGATTTGTTCTTGGTCAGATCAAGTTCAAATCAATCCCAGAGGGGAAAAACAAACATTTGAGCCTATATAAGCACGAGATTATATATCATCATGTCCTGTCTAAGCAAACTGAATGAACTCGGTTTCTAGCACACTTCTGACTCAAAGTTGAAACGGCAAAAACTTGAATGTGCATATCATCTTATTCTGTCAACATGAATGTAAAAGAAAGAAGTTCATGGCTGTACTCTTCTGCTTATAATTAAACTGTATTTACATTCATGTTGATAGAATAAGATGAGATTTTTGCTATTTCAACTGCTATTCAGAAATGTGCTAGAAACTGTGTTGATTTAGTGCTCAGACACTATATGATGATATACCCTCTTCTGCTTATAGGCTCAAATGTTTGTTTCCCCCCTCTGAGATTTGATTTGAATTTGATCTGGCCAAGAGGGACAAAAATTCCCATCTAGGTATCATTGGCAATCTTTGCAGGTTTAGTTTGCATTAGTTCAAGACTTGTATCAGTACTTTATATGTAAAACAAGATTATTAATTTGATTGTTCTTACAAATTTAACATTTATAAAAAGAAACATTCTAATTATTCTAAAAATTTAAATTTATAAACAAAAACATCCAATGTAGTTTTAGTCTTTGCCTTCTTTTAGCTCCCAAAATTGTCTTCATAGGGTTACATGTTTAGAGAAAAAGTGTTTAGCTGCTTTCAAGAAGTAATCAGTTGAATGCAAATCTTGGCAAATTGAACTCAAAGCAAGATTCTCTGTTACAAATAGTTCAATTCTTTCCATTACATGATGCTTCCTGTTAAAGAGGATGCAGCATAATTAAACTGACAAGTTTGCAGCAAACTACCCTTGTCAACTCTCCAAACAAGGAAAGCAGCAATCTCATAAAGTAATTTCAACGGATGAGCTAATTCTAATATCCATATGTAAGAAGATCAACGAAACAAATTTTTTCCCATAAACATCAAATCATTGCTTTGGAAAAACATGTGGAAGTATCTAAAACTTTCAAGAATACTAGATAAAGTTTGAAAATTGTTGCTATCAGTTAGTTGAATCAGCTTGTAAGTTTCTCAGTTCAGTTTCGACCCCAGCATGGCTTTCCAGAAGAGATGCTAAAAGAATTAAGTTGATATCACTCCCCCAAAGGCATTCTCCAGTCAATCTAAGATCCAAAAGAAGAAAGAGAACTGGCAAATGTTTAGTTAGTCAACTGGATGTTTGGCTTGTTCCCGATTGTGCTCACTTTCTCCAGACTTGCCATGTATGTCATGTAGACTGTCCATAGATATGAAAATCCATTGCTTACCAACGGCTGTCAAGTGAAAATGGAAGAAAAACAGGTTAAACCGTGCACAAGTTTGTCAACCACCCACTTTCCCCATCTGGAAACAGAAATGGAAAAAGGGGACTTTACCTGTAAATGTACTGGGATGAATTTGAAGGTTATGAAATCGCATATTGGCCAGTACATAATACCATTTAGCAACGTGGGGAGCAAATCTCGCTTCAATCGAGCAACAATCTCTGTTCTGCTTTCACCTGAAATAAGCAATCAACAAAATACTTAAGACATATTATCATCATGTTTCTTAAACAACATACAGCTTAAACATATTCCATACAGAACAGCTTGACCATGTCAATTTTAAATTTAAAGGTAACTGTTTCTTGTTATGAATAAAAGATTTTTCGTTAAGAACCAAAGAGAGGCTTGCATACAGAAACTATGGTCACTTCCCAAAAGTTTGAAATTTATGGTGAAAAATAAAGGGGCAGATATGGTTTGTGCATTGATTAGGAGTAGAATGAGTGGCTGAAACAGTGTAATCCGTTCCAGTATTTGTCACTGAATTAATCGATGCAAGAAATTACCAAATACATTTCAACCACATAAAGAACTTGCCATCAATCTCCAATTGTTGCACTTAGGGTACAGGGAAAAAGGCTGACAATAAATCAGGTATAAGATGCAGTGAAGCACATAGAAAATACGAGGAATCCATGACATGACTGTTTTCAAGGATATTCATCTTACTAACACAATTCAATAAAAGAGAATGAAACATACCTTGTAGAAATGCATTTGAAGAGAAGAAAACAACTGTCATGGTTGGTCCATAAAGTGTTTGCCCCATGGCCATTTTCTTAAGCGTTGTAATTAGATCTCGCTTTGGAAAGAGTCTTGACAAAAAATTGAACCAGAAGTGAAGAGATGGTCCTAAAATTAGCATCCCATATGACGCCATGCGTAATGTTCTCACCAAATCATAAGATTCTGAAGAGGACTGTGAAATCGTCTGCATATAAATTCAGCAAATAATGATATTAAAGGCAAATTGCTGCAAGAAGCTTAGTGCCAATAAAAGCACATGCTAAAACCTATTTTTCGAATCTTTTATCAGCCACATAATACAATTAGAGGAAGAGGAGTTCCACAAAGAGAATCAGCAATGCACTTAATAAAAATAATTTCAAGATTAGTTGGCATATAAAGGCTACAAAGCCGATGTAAATTCAGCTGTTCCAGCCATATCCAACAAAACCTAGGTCCTAAAATATTAGCTAAAAAGAAACTGGTTTCAAACTGTGAGTAGAAGAAGAGGTCATGTCAGAAGTTGATGACCAAGTCATGTTCCAGATAAAAGTTTTTATGGTGGCCCAGTTCAACAGTCCATGAGAATGAAGCTATGCACACACGTAATTCTCAGGTTCCAAGACGACATTCAAAACATCAAGATTCACATGGAAAAGTTAGGATGGAGCAAAAAAAAAGATATCTTTGTTTTGTATTTTTGTGTTAAGAACAATGCACACCATAAATCAAACAGTCTCCTTGAAATTTCAGAATTTCTTTGGATATTTGAGTGACAATTTATGGATACAAGTCACTCTATATTTTACAAGAGTGTGATCATGACTCTGTTTGTGAAAGAGATTTCATTCACAAAAGACAACAGGAGGAAAAGAGAAGTGCAAAAGGTGCAGAGGAA